CAAATGTGAGTGACCAATATGGCAGCATTGAGGATGAGAAAGACAGAGAGAGTTACATGGGCAGTACAAACAACAAATATGAACCCCTTTGCATATACAGTACTGAGTTGTACTCAGAAAGCAAACATGGGTATAGGGACGGATAGATGGGTGAACAAGCTAAACAATTATGTATGTCTAAATGGAGAGTGTATCCAAGATCATATATGGGGTTGGCAGACAATGGGCCTCTCAGGGTGCAGAAGAGTATGAAGGGATGGACACTGGGAGGAGGTAACTATGGGGAGGAAGTGGGAGGGGAGCTGCTGCATTGTAAATTTTGGTCAATGACATGAGACAAGGTATATGTGAACTGCTGTATGAAAAGTGAATTTACTCTGTAAATCTTCACCCAAATCCTAATAAAAAAAAAAAAAAGCAGGTATGTGACAGGCTTGCCAACACAGGGCATTTGCAATCACACACGTGGTAACTAAACCCCTGTTTAGCAAGGGAAGCAATCACTAGGATGCCTTGGTGGCTGGCCTAGTTCCTCACTCCCAACTCGGGGCTCCATTCACGCTGCATCCTGGGCAAGAACTTGGGCTCTAGAGCAGACAGGCCTGGGCTACCCTGGTTCTGTTGCTAACTAGCTCGTGAAACCTTGGCCAGTGGTTTCAATCATGAAGCCTCAGTTTCCTTTGTCAAATGGGAAGGACAACAACGTCACCCTCACTGGGTCGGTCCCACTTCCACTGCCACCGGGTCAATTCCCACTTACAGCAACCCCCACTGGACTTCCAGGTGGTAAATCTTTATAGAAGTAGATTGCCCCATCTTCCTTCCACGGAGCAGCTGGTGGATTTGAACTGCCAACCTTCAGGTCAACAGTCAAATGCCTTAAGCACTGGTCAGTAGGAGGGTCAAATGGTGTAATTTTTGTAAAGCACTGAGCACAATGCCTTTCAGAAGGACCAACTACCATCTCATTTGTGGGGCCCAGAGCAAAGTGAAAACAGCCCCAAGGTTGTTAAGAATTTCAAGATGGCAGCTACAGAGCATTAACCCAAGTGTGGGGCTCTTCCGAGCATGGGGAGGGGGCAGACTGAGGCCCGCCCTTCCTTCAGACAATAAACACTCCACAGATACTATCCCTTATCACTGTCCTAATGTACAAGCCCACCTCACCCTGCCACAGGCTCTTCTCTCCCCTACAAGGCCTAATCCACCCAAGCTGGAAAGTGTCACTTCTATCCCCAAAACAGGCAACGTTGCAGAAGCAACCTGCATTTACAAGAAGAGATCTGACCATGTGAGACCAGATCAGACCAGCTGCGGTCGAGCTATTCCACTCACAGCAGCCCCACGTCAGGGGAACCGTCCCCACAGGGTCTGCAAGGATGGATCTTTCAGGATATCGTCAGGCCTTGCTTCCAGGGTGGCTCTGGGTGACCTCCAATCTCCAACCTTTTGGTTCGAGGGTGTTAACTGCATCCCAACGTGATGCTATCACATACCACAGGCTCATGCCAGACGCACCTTAGGGTCTGCGCACTGGCTTCTCACCTCCTGAGCCAACACCCTCCATCAAGTCTCCACTAAGATCCGGATCCCACAGAGGACTGATCCTGATTCAATACCAGCCCCCCGTCCTCCCTGCATTCTCTGTCCCTCTGTCCTGCCTTTCCTCATAACACTTCCACTGCTGAATGCACTGTCCCATTTACTTCCTTAACACGTCGTCTTAGCTGTCTAGTGCTGCTTTAACAGAAACACCACAAGCGGATGGCTTTACAGACTAGGAGACCAGGAGGCTGGCTCAGGACACCAGTTCTCCGGGAATACTCGGTCCCTGCTGGCTCTGGGGAAGGTCCCTGTTCCCGGGTGAGCTTCCCGTGCCATGGCATCTCTCTTCCCCCATCTCTGCTTTTTTGCAGTTCACTTGATCTGCTCTCTTCCATATCTCAAAAGAGCTTGACTTAAAACACGATACACCCATCCCGCCTCATTAACATATCAAGGACAACCCCACTCTCAAATGGGATTGTTACCGCAGACACAGCATTTCCAAGGCATATTTTGTGGAGACACCATTTGATCCATAACGTGCGTCTATTATTCACTCTTTATCCTCCTTTACACACACACTCACACCACACACACCAGAACACACAAAGATCAGGGATCTGTGTCCGCTTTTGTTCATCGACGTACCCCAAGTGCGGAGAAAAGTCCTTGCTCATCAGGGATATTACTGAAAGAAAAAGGAAGGACTGAACATTCGGGTAATCGGCCTGTCCTTTTCAACTTTTCAACACGGGATTCAGCCGGAAGGCAGGTCTCCATGGTGCAGAGGGACACAGTGATGACCAGCTCCCAACAGAGTTCCCAGAGCAGATGCACATGTTTAGTCTGTCTTCAAATCTCTGCCAAACCCCCTTCAGTTTGGAAGGAAGATAATGCAATCGTCTGTGCACTAAATCCAGCACCTCTTGCAACACCAATGGGTGTGCGCAGTCTGCTGCAGTGGCTTCAGCAACACACTGAGTGGCATTTTACACGAGCAAGCTGTGTGGAGAGGAGGCGTGTCCCCAAGTGGAGGGCATGAAAGTTGCTTTTGATTTTTTAGAGAATTGGAAGAAAAATCATCTCACATCACTGCTTCATCACAGTAACCCAGAAGCGCTGGCCCTTCACATCAAAAGGGCCGAAGGTCCTCATCCTTGAAACCTTCGTGCGTAAAGATGTTGGCTCGAGCCCTGTCCACACGGCTGTGCCTGGAGCCCCAGAGTCTCAGGGAGTAGCTCCGGGGCCTGCCTGCACCAGCCCAGACGTAAGCCACGGGCCCAGGAAGGGGATGGGAACTCGGGGCGGGATGCACCCACCAGCCCGAAAGCTGGGCATGGCAACCGGTACATGGAGCAGCTGTGCAGGCAAAGAATGGCATTTGCGAATAAAAGAGAAGAGGTGCTCTCCATGAGCGGTTACAATGTGGCTCACGTCAGGAGAAACACCTGGAGCGTCCATTCCTCAGATGCAGCTGGTCCTCAACCCAAGGGCAGCCACACGAGCTCCTCCCTGGGACCTCACCACACCCCTGGCTCCTGCCTGGGACCACGCTGCACACCTGGCTCCTCACTGGGACCATGCTGCTGCACACCTGGCTCTGGTCCCACCTCGCCGCACATCTGGCTCTCATGTCACTGCAGTGCACACCTGGTTCTTGCCCACCGTGCAGCACACCTAGCTCCTGCCCCACATCACCTGGCTCTGCCCCTTCCTCGCTGCACACCTCGCTCCTGTGTGCAACAATGCTGCACACCTGGATCTGGCCGTGGTCCTGCATGAATCACCACACCCTCTCAGGCCCGCACCGTCATTTCTCAAACAAGCCTGTTTGCAGCCACCACAAAGGCCAGGGGGAAATCAGCGGGGCAGACATCCCTCATCCCTTTTCCCAAAATAAGGTCGGCAAGAGGCAAAGGCCAGAGAGGCAGTGCCTGCAGGCCATTCTGCAAAAGTTTCAAATATCCTGGCACCGGCCCCACTAACAGAGCTGTAACGGGAAGGCAGGCAAGCCTGTCTCTCGTGACCAACTCTGCATTTACAGGAAAGAAGGTAACCGGCACACACCAGGCCACACACACACACACCCCGGTGCTGGTACTACAACAGAGAAGGAGCTCTGGTGGTGTAGTGGTTAATGCATTCAGCTGCTAACTAAAAGGTCAATGGTTCAAGCCTTGTCCTCCCCTTTTTAATTTCTAATTAAAGCTGCTCAGTGGGAGAAAGATGAAGCAGGCTGCTTCCCTGATTTACAGCCTTGGAACCTCATGGGACAGTTATATGATGAGCTCACTACGGGTCAGAATCAAGTCGATGGCAGCGGGTTTTTTGCTTTTTATAGTAGAAAGGCTGAATGTCATTTTATTCCTATGTGTGTTTAATGTTGGCCTATTGCATATTTCATAGGAAGGAAGTTGTGCATGAACTGCGACAGCTCTGGCACCAGAGGGGTCCTGGAGGCAGATGTCTGAACAAGGAAGGGGTGAGCTGTCCGTCTCCCACGCACTTCTGAAACACACGACAGCCTCCATTTTCCACTTCTCTACCGTCCGCCTGGCAGAGGGAGGAAGCCGTCTTCTGGCCCGAACTGTTAATAAAGCCAAAGAAAGCAGCTTTCCTCCTCAGCTGAGGCCTTCTCAAAACACACCTACACAGAGGGGGACTTTGAAGAGCGGGAGGAAACAGGAATAGCGGTGAGGTGGCGCCCAAGGGCCTTCCTTCTTCTGTTTCCCAGACACAGACACAAGGAGGGCAGTGAGAGCATCCTCCAAACGGCCTCCCTCTCTCCGGTGGTTTTCCGTGTGAACTGCAGGTGAATGCATTACAGTGGGCTGAAGGCGACAGGGCTGATCTCTAACAGGGGCTCCCTGGGGCAGAGGTACAAGGGGCGGCTCCTCATCGCTGGGCCCTCAATTTCCTCAGGCAAGAAGCCCTTCTCAAAACCCACTGCGCATCTGTATTTTTGTTAGTGTGCAGCGAAACAGCAGGAGCCCTGGTGGCACAGTGGTTAAAGTGTTCGCTTGCCAACCTTAAGATCAGCGGTTCGAATTCCCTGGAGTAAGATGAAGCAGTCGGCTTCCTTCAAGATTTACAGTCTTGGAAAGCCTATGGGGGTGTTCCGCTTAGTCTTACAGCGTGGCTACGAGTCAGAACCAACTCGAACCGCAACAAGTGGTAAAAACATAACGTTGTTGTTGTTTACAAAAAACAAAACACCCGCCCCTCCCCGCTTTACAGTCTTGTCAGCAAAGAAATGCTACTACGGATGTGGAAAAGGCTCGAAAAGACAACGGAAATTTCTGGGGACACGCACAGGGTGCCTGCCATCACGAAAAGCCCCAAAGGGCCGGCGGCGCACCTGTCCCGGTCCAGCCCCCGCACCTGGGCATGCCCCCGGGCCCTCTGTCCAGATGCCAGTCCCTAGCTGTCCCCGCAGGCAAGCTCCCGGTGCTCACCGTGGGGTACAGGAGTGCGTCGCCGTCCCCGGGCTCCGACAGCTCGCTCAGCTTGCGGTCCCACTGCAGGGCGCCCTGCTCCCCGCTCTCCAGCACCTCCATGCCGGCCCGGCGCGTGGGAGCGCGCGGACGTGGGTGCGGGCGCGCGCGGGTGGCTCGTGCACGCGGAGGACCGATCGCTCCTCCGCGCTGGAGACCCCAGGCCCGGCCGGGTCCTCGGAGGCAAAGCGTCCCCGGGAGTCGGGCTTTGCAGAGCGGACCGACGGCTACGGGGGTCACAGCAGGGCGTGCATCCAAACCGAGCACGGGAGACACGCGCTCATCCCGGGACACGCTCCCACGACTAGCCTACTCCCAACTCAAACTTTGAGACACCCTACAGCTCCTCGGATCTGCTCCCGGACTCAGTTGCCGACCCCGCCTCCATCCAGGCCAGCGGCCAATCGGAGGCCCGCCTCACCCAACTAGCCCAATCAGAAGTCTCTCTGTCCACTCTGTCCCGCCCACATGCGCGGGGGCCGCGGGAATTCTCCGCCCCAGCTGTGGAATGTGGGCGGGGTGATCCTTTGACGTCACCGGGGAACTCCTCCTTCCGGAGCGCGGCCCTGGCCGGCCCACTGGGGCAGCGAACCAATAGTATGTTTGGGTTTGGGAGTGATTGACTGGGGACATTGCCACTAAGGAAGAGGAGCCTGAGACCGGAAGCCAATAAGATAGCGACAAGACTACATTTACTAAAAGAGGGCGGGCGCGCTCGGTCCACTTGCTGAGACGCCACAGAAGTTAGGTTCTGAAGGCGGGGCTGTTGCTCTGCGTCAGAGCGGCGCTCTGTCGGAAATGCGAAATGGCATCACACAGCTCTGGTGCTGTTGAGTCTTTAAATAAAACACAACCCACTGCTGTCGAGTCGGATCCGACTCATAGCGACCCCTCCTTGGGTTTCCGAGTATCTCTGCGGAAGTAGGTTGCCCAGTCTTCCTTCTGAGGAGTGGCTGGTGGGTTTGAACCGCCAGCCTTCTGGTTAGCGGTCAGATGCCTTAGGCACTAAATGGACCCACGTTGTTGTCGTCAGGTATATATATGTATATCTATATATATGTATGGGAACTCTGGTAGCATAGTACCTAAGGCACCTGTCTGCTGGCGGTTCAAACCCACCAGCCACTCCTCAAAAGAAAGGTTGGGCAATCTACTTCCATAGTGATACTGCCTGGGAAACCCAAGAAGGGGTCGCTGTGAGCCGGAAACGACTGGATGGCAGGGAAGTGGGTTTTTTGTTTGTTTGTTTTAATGTAATGTATTATCACATTCCCCATTGCTTATGACTGGGAAGAGGTTTGGGCAATCTACTTCCCTAGTGATACCGCCTCCAAAACCCAAGGAGGGGTTGCTATGAGTGGGGTCCCCACATAACAAGAACAACAAATAGTTCATGAATTTGGAGACTTTTGAGGAGTGAATGTTATGCACATGTTCCCCTTGCCTACGAATTGGAGCTTCTCAGGATTTTTTCATGAACACATGCTGTACACATATATGATATGTGTAACATATTATAGCACATCCTCCATTGCCCGGGAATTTTGATTAGCACCCAACTAGACAACTGTCACTGTTTCTTCTCCACGGTTCACCCTTCTCTTAGGCTCTGATCCTGACACTGTTTTGTGGGCCTCACTTACTGTATTTTTTCTCCCAGCCGCCCAGCAGACATCATTCATGACGGCCTGACCTGTGTTTTTCCAGGTGCTGAGCACAGAGTGGTGATCAGTGGTCCATCCTGACCAGCCACTGCGTGGAAGCAAGACTGGACAATCCACTTCCATAAAGATTTACTACCTAGGAAACACAACAGGGTCACTGTGAGTTGGAATCGACTCCATGGCAGTGGGTTTTGTTTGGTTTACCTCATTGGAGGACTCAGACAATACTCAGATGAGGAAGTAAAAGCAGAATTATATTCCGAAAGGGGTAACTGCTATAAAGGCAAATAAAAGCAGGGAAAAGGGGGACACTACTTTAGAAAGTTGATCAAGGAAGTTCCCTCTGGGCAGGGGCGTTTGAAAAGGTGAAAGGACGAGATATGAGGGGAAGGTGGCATTCTGCTGATTGACAGGGAAGCAGTGAGCTAGGGTAGAGGGTGCCTGTGAGATTGGCCCGGATCAGAACACGAGGCCGGAGGACATCAGGGAATGCTGTTGCCTTGGAGCCAGGTCTGACTAACGGACCCCAAGGTGTATCAGAGTAGAGCTGTGCTCCATAGGTGTTTCAGTGGCCACTTTTTCAGGATTAGATTGCCGGGCCCTTCTTCCGAGTCACATTTGGGGGACTTGAACCTCACAACCTGAGCCCTTCACTGTTTGCACCTTGACGAGACTCCTAGTTGGGGAAGAGTAGGCCCATTCTACAGTATTTACAGCCAAGATTCTGATTTTCCTTCCTTGAAAACATGTTTTTCCCATTTAAAATACTTGCCAGTTGGCTCCAGAAGTTTCTTAGGATGGCACATACATAGTTTGGTGTTGTGTGGCCCCTTCATGCATATTTTTGGTGACAGAGACAGTCAAATGTCATAGAACTCTGTTGTCTGTAAGCTGCGGTTCATTGTGCAAACCATTCCATCTGTCTTGTCCTATCACCTGGGATCTTATTTTAATGCATTTAAGTAGAAATGGAGAAAAGATTGAAGTTGTCAAGGATTTCATTTTATTTGGATCCACAATCAATGTCCATGGAGGTAGCAGTCAAGAAATCAAATGATGTATTGCACTGTGCAAATTCACTATAAAGCCCTCTTTAAAGTGTTAAAGAGCAGAGATAGCACAATGAGGACTAAGGTGCACCTGACCAGGCCATGGTATTTTCAATCGCCTCATAGGCATGTGAAACTTGGGCAATGAATAAGGAAGACCAAAGAAGAATTGATGCTTTTGAATTACTGTTTTTGTGAAGAATATTAGATACACGATGAACTGCTGCTCTAATAATTTCCTTTGGAAGGATCCCCACAAAGCTGGTCCTTATGAGGCAGAAGTTAAAGATGTCCCAACTGTCCAACTTTTCAAACTGCTGTACTGCTCCATCATCTCTAACATCAACTCCTCCTCCTCCTCCCCTCAGTTTGCCCCCTCCTATTTTAGGGTTCTGTAATTACTGTAACATCTCACAGAACTCACGAACCACCGAGGAAATGGCTCACATGGTTGTGGAGGGTGGCAAGTCCCAAATCTGTGGGCCAAGCATCAGTCTGGAGGACTCTCCTCATTCACGTGGTTGCAGGGGCTGATGAACTCAAATTGTTGGGTAAGACGACAGGCTGCTGGCTCACAAGGCTGCAGAAGCTGGTGAATCAGGCCAGACAACAGGTTGCTGTCTCAAGTTCCAGGGGCCGGAGGTCAGATGATGATGACCCTGAGACACCATCCAGAGCAAGAGAGAACTTTGGCAGCACGTTCATATGTACTGGATACAGACCATACCCTTAAGTCAATTAAGGCAGGTGACTTGAGTGTAAGGTGGTGACTCGAGATATCCCACCCTTCACCCAAATCACAATTAAAAAAAAAAAAAAAGATACCTCCCACCCTAATCCTGCCTTATTAACATAATGGACAACTCATTCCAAAATGGGACTGTAAGCACAGGCACGGAGGCTGGATTTACAATATATCCCAAAATGGAGGACCATGACTGGAAGGGCCATGTCCAGTAACTCACTGTACCACAGGTGCAGAAGAAGGAACCCATCTGTCCTGGAAGAAGTACAGCCAGATGCTCCTGAGAAGTGAGAAGGGAGAGACTGCGTCTCACATTCTTAGTACTTATTATCAGGAGGACCAGTCCCTGGAGACGGACATCATGCTTGGTAAATGGAGGGGCAGCACAAAGGAGGAGACCCCTCAATGAAGTGGACTGACATGGTGGCTGCAGCAGTGAGCTCACGTGCGGAAACAGCTGTGAAATGGAACAGGACTAGCAGCATTTTATTCTTTTGCACAGAGGGTCACTCTCACTGTGCTTTGGAACCAACTCAACACCACCTGACAACATAAACTTCCTTGCACAATGGTCTTCTCTTTTTCTCTTAAGTCCTTGGTTTTTATTTTCCAACATGCCAGCTCCTTCACTACATCCTTTTCATAGATCGCTCTTGAATTTTTAAAGACTTTTCCTATTTTTCAAAGCATAACATTCAACGTGTACCAGTGAGGTAGAAACATGGACACCCTCTTTAATCCTGGAACACAAACACGTCCCTGTCAAACATTTTCTCCTTGCCTACGTCTGCCCCTGCTTAGCTCCATGTGGCAGGCAGCCCCTAATGTGGCCTGAGGATAGTCATGCCGCTGTGTCATCCTCTCCCGTTGAGTATGGGCTGACCTAGAACTTCCTTTGACAAATAAACCAAACCAGTCTTTGCTGTGAAATTAATTCTGACTCATAGCGACCCTACAGCCTAGAGTAGAGCTGCCTACAGCATTTCCAAGGCTGTGATCTGACGAACAGAATCTGACAGAAGCTAAGGGATGTCATTTCTGAGATTCAAAAAAAGAAAAAAATGAGCTTATTGCTGTCGAGTCAACACTAACTGATAGTGGTGCCATGTGACAGGACAGGACTGCCTCCACAGGGCTCCTAGGCTATAATCCGTACAGGAGCAGGTCACCAGGTCTTTCCCCATGGAGCAGCTGATGGGTTCAAACTCTTAACTTTGCAGTTAGCAGCTGGGCGCTTAACCACCATGCCACCAGGGCTCTGAGATTAGCTTACGAAAAGATTCTGGCTTCCAGTGTGCTCACTCTCTCTTCCTCTCTTGGCCCTCTCTTGCTCACTGTGACAGAAGCTGGCTGCCATGTTGCAAGCTGCCCAGTGGAGAGGCCCACATGTCAAGGAACCAAACTCACTCACTGCCATCGAGTCAGATCCAACTCATAGCGACCCCTCCTTGGGTTTCTGAGGCAGTAGCACAATGGAAGTAGATTGCCCAACCTTCCTTCCGAGGAGTGGCTAATGGGTTGGAACCGCCAGCCTTCTGGTTAGCAGTCAAATGCCTTAGGCACAGCGCCACCAGAGATCCAAAGGAACCAAAGGCATCCTCCAAC